CATACATACATACATACATACATACATACATACATACATACATACATACATACATACATACATACATACATACATACATACATACATACATACATACATACATACATACATACATACATACATACATACATACATACATACATACATACATACATACATACATACATACATACATACATACATACATACATACATACATACATACATACATACATACATACATACATACATACATACATACATACATACATACATACATACATACATACATACATACATACATACATACATACATACATACATACATACATACATACATACATACATACATACATACATACATACATACATACATACATACATACATACATACATACATACATACATACATACATACATACATACATACATACATACATACATACATACATACATACATACATACATACATACATACATACATACATACATACATACATACATACATACATACATACATACATACATACATACATACATACATACATACATACATACATACATACATACATACATACATACATACATACATACATACATACATACATACATACATACATACATACATACATACATACATACATACATACATACATACATACATACATACATACATACATACATACATACATACATACATACATACATACATACATACATACATACATACATACATACATACATACATACATACATACATACATACATACATACATACATACATACATACATACATACATACATACATACATACATACATACATACATACATACATACATACATACATACATACATACATACATACATACATACATACATACATACATACATACATACATACATACATACATACATACATACATACATACATACATACATACATACATACATACATACATACATACATACATACATACATACATACATACATACATACATACATACATACATACATACATACATACATACATACATACATACATACATACATACATACATACATACATACATACATACATACATACATACATACATACATACATACATACATACATACATACATACATACATACATACATACATACATACATACATACATACATACATACATACATACATACATACATACATACATACATACATACATACATACATACATACATACATACATACATACATACATACATACATACATACATACATACATACATACATACATACATACATACATACAACATACATACATACATACATACATACATACATACATACATACATACATACATACATACATACATACATACATACATACATACATACATACATACATACATACATACATACATACATACATACATACATACATACATACATACATACATACATACATACATACATACATACATACATACATACATACATACATACATACATACATACATACATACATACATACATACATACATACATACATACATACATACATACATACATACATACATACATACATACATACATACATACATACATACATACATACATACATACATACATACATACATACATACATACATACATACATACATACATACATACATACATACATACATACATACATACATACATACATACATACATACATACATACATACATACATACATACATACATACATACATACATACATACATACATACATACATACATACATACATACATACATACATACATACATACATACATACATACATACATACATACATACATACATACATACATACATACATACATACATACATACATACATACATACATACATACATACATACATACATACATACATACATACATACATACATACATACATACATACATACATACATACATACATACATACATACATACATACATACATACATACATACATACATACATACATACATACATACATACATACATACATACATACATACA